AGCGTTTTGGGCATCCCCTGGTACGACAATTAAGCGTTCTGTGGACGATTTGAAACTTTTCGATGATCAGCGCCGAAAAAGTGCCAGGATCATTTGATTTTTGTTATCGCCGTGGAGTGGATTTCGCCAGTTAAGCACCGCGTGCAAAAGCGATGACCTAAGTAGCAACTAAGGCAACCTCGTCCCCAGGGCTTTTCCCTCATTTTTTAAGGGAAAAGCCCTGGGGACGAGGTTGCAACTAAGGAGGAATCCTTCAGAAAAATTGCAGTCTTCCTTTACAACTGACTTGTATCACCATGAGAGTTGCCTGATAAAACTGGCACTTGAAAAGTTGAACAGAAGACAACAGTTGCTCAACCGTGAAGCTAACTCAAAAGTAATTTGCTAAAGCCGAGGAATTTGTGACATCGCGCTCCAGTCCAAAGACCCTCTTATCTCAAGAAAAACAAAATGGATTGTATTTGCGCCCAAAGAAATATGACTGACTAACAGGAGAATTCTCAGCAATTAATGTAGAAGTTTAGGCCAATTCTTTCCTACGAATTCGCATCTGTAGATCACTTTTTTGCGAGAAAACAATGGCTTGGCTCGGCCATAGTTAATTGAGTCTATGGCTCGGCGTTACAAAACATAGCAGGGAATCATCACACTAACTGACGGACAAAACAACCACAGTATTTATTCAGACAAACGCATTTCGGAGAAAAACTTGAAAAACTAGAAATTTGATTATTATTGAGTCATTTAGCCGAAATAAGAACCTTAACGCTAAAAAAAATTGGCTTAAACGAATCCTGTCAGAACTACAGACTGCAGGTAGTAGTTAATCATTACGCATGTAACAGACCAGCTTCATGGCCTCTTATAAATGTGAGACAAGCAACCAAAATTAAGATTAACATAGTCAGAGTTTAAAACTCTCCACAGTATTATCTACCCGCTAGAAAGAAAAGAAAGAAAATCTCTTAGGGATGAAAACTAAAGTCACGTTTCACTAGCTTATGATTTTGTTTGGCCTGTCAGCACCGGATTTCCTGCTGTTTCATGAAGTACAATAGCAGTGTCATAATAGTCTTTGTGATTGGCTCTTCCCACCGTCGGCGCGCGAAGTCTCCCCTGGGAACCGTTCTAATTATAAATCTACTCGGGAAAGGGTTGACTCCAAGGGCTTGTATGGGAGATGGAGGCTCCATTTGATGGGCTCCTGTACTTTTGCACCCTGTGAAGGTTGTTCCCAAGGTGTGGTGGTTGGTCGGAATTGATTTAATAGAAGCCCCTACTATGTCTCCAAACGGCAACAGATTTCTTCTGTCCCGTAGGTGCAAGATCACGAGGCCTCTGTACAAATTGTGTGACAGCCTTTCGTGTGTCAGGTAGCGCTGCGGGGTTAAGAGGCCTCAAATGTCATGCATTCTATGAATTCAACACCGCAAAACGCAGTTTTATTCATGTTTGTCTTTTGATTGCTTTGTTTAGTATTCTTGTTTTTGGCTGTTTGGAATCAGACGATCGCAGCTGCCGGCGATTGCGGCATTCCTCGCTGGTAAACAGTTCTATTAAATAAAATTGAAGCTTTGCAAACAATGAAGTGTTGTCAGTTGTGTTGTACAGAGAAGCGATGTTATGCGGTTGTAAATTTCAGTTTCGTCATGTTTTGAGCCAACGTTTACTGCCTATGGGTTTTTCTTCTGCGCAATAAACCCGGCGAAACGGTGTCAGACGATATAATTCTAACATGCATCTACACCTTTCAGCCGTAAATTCGTGATTGACAATCCCGACTTCTCCCCAGTCTGAAATAATTTAGGCAAAGTCGAAGCGATCAGCGTTTTGGGCATCCCCCACCGGGAATGCCAAAAACGCTAGGGATATGGGAATGGGGATGCCCAAAACGCGGGGATGCCCAAAACGCTGTGACAGCGGAAATGTTATTTTCTTTATTTGCTGAGAAACTGGCACTATCGCTCCCATGAACCTTTTCAACCTCAGCGTGACAAAGCACAAATTGGTCATGCGCAGTTCTCTCCTTGTTCGCCATTGCCGTGAGAGAGTTCCAAGTTTCAAACAAAATGCCGGATTATTTAGGAAAAGATCAAAGGAAAATTAAAGACGACGAGAAAAAAGACGATAAGCCAATCCAAGGTGCGAGTGATACTTTGAATCATACCAAATCACGACGGGACTTATTAGTAACACGACTGACATCTTTCTCACTGCGATTGCACATGGAAACCAGGATTCAGATCTTTGATTAAAAATTTTATTGTCATTTTTACCTCTTCTAGCTCTTGATGAAGGAGATATCGAAATTCTAAAGACATACGTAAGTACATCAAAATGTATCGCGTTTATGCAAAGTGTAACAGGATTTTATATTTTTGCATGGCTTGATATGTTATGTTTTATCACAGGCTGTTCAGGAAATTTGTTTAGGTTCAGTTTCAATATCCTTGGCTTGAATTTTATTTTATTTTTCCCGAGTTATAGTAATGTATGATGATCAATTTGAAACAAAGGAAAGTAAAATTTAAACCACGAATAAAACTAACCCACAACATGTACACTGACATAAGCTTATTATTATATGCTTGTCAATAATATTATGGTTTGTCACTTCTGACTATTATTGAAGATTACATGTTTATCTCACTTTAGCACAGTTTCTTAAGTTAATGCATAGTAGGATGTTGCATACTGTTGAAAACTTGTAATCCCTGCCTAAACTGTTATGCCAGGTGTATTTAATCAGTAGAAATCAATATCAGAAAATATAAATAAGCCAAAGTTTGAACATTTTTTGGTAAAATGGCTTTTTTTAGAAAACATAATGGTTTCAGCAACCTCTCACTTCATGTTGTATTTTTTCGTGTGTTTGTTGTTATTTTTCGTGAGTGACACTGACACTGACCTGGTTTTGTGATAGACTGTTACGAGCGTACGGCTATTTTGAGAAAGGTTGTCAGAAAAAATGTGCACACAACAATCCCGAAAGGTAACATGGGATATGATCAATACACTGTTCCTGACACTGCAACTGTCGAATCTTCTATTGTTGCTTTCTTTTAGAATTCGCAAACACACATCTATGGCCTCTCGTGCCATTCTTTCAAATTTCTTTGAAGAACAGTGAACTCAAAATAACCCACAATACTTTTCGGGATTGTCGTGTGCACTTTCTCTGACAACCTTTCTTGAAATAGCTGTATATTGCTTGCTGGAAATGTTGTTGTCTCAAGATGATCTACATCATCATGAGTGGGTTAAATGGGTGACAAATTATGAAACTGCTGCAAATATTGTTACCTTAAGATGAGATACGTCATTATGAGTGAGTTAAATGAGTGACAAATTATGTGGGTGAAAGGACGATTGTGCCCTCTTTACATTTCAAATATCAACATGTTAACAGTATGCTTGGATGTCAGCATACAAGGGCGCCACTGCTAGCCGCTATCTGCCCACTTATGAGCTTACTGTAACCCACCTAGCCCATGATATGAGTGATGTGTGTGAAAGGTAGACCACACCACCGGGGAAACTTCCCCTCCTCTTTTTGATTGGTAGTTGCCATTGGGTTGTTTTACATCCCTTTTGATCTGACTAATGATAGAAGGATGAAGGAGACAAGGCCAATGGCCTCAGGTCACCGCCCAATGACTAGATCATTTGAACTGAGACAAGATCTTAAATCACAGCCAGCAAGATCTTATGAGTTTTTTTAAAGACCCTGGTTGGTTGTTCGGATAGAGTTTGAACCCACAACCTCCCCCACAGCAGACTAGCACTCTATCAACTGAGCTAACCAGGCGGTGGATATTGTAAATAACAGTATGAGTATTAATGATAATTTTTACAAACTGACTAAGCCCCTTTTCTGTCTACTGATTAAGAGGGTTTTTTAAAACTGTTTAATACTGACTCGAGGTGCAATAGCTGTAGCAAAATACTGTATTTCTTGGTATTTGTTTTTTTGACTGCTTCATTTATTGCTCAAATTTCGTCTTTCGAAAATGCCTCAAAACAAGACACCATCTTGGCTCCAGTCGCATAACGGTGAATAGCCAAGGATATTGCAAGTTACAGGAGCCAATCAAAACGCACAAAAATTGCTATTCACTGATTTGGTAAATACTAAAATAAATTTATTGTTTGTTAACTCTGTTGTAGTATGATTGTGGTTGAAATTGGGCAAGTAACTCAGTGCAGGTTTAAATGGTCTCCTGGAACTACTTTTCATCCTTACCATTAATCTAAAGTGAAGTAACATGTGTATTTGTTTTCTTTTAAAAAAACCATTATACTAGAGTACACAGGGTTGTCATTAAGAGCCAGGGGCCGGGGATTTTCCCCGGCTACTAAGAGAGTGGCCCCCGGCTACTTTTATTGGAAAATAGAACCAAAAGAAATCCCTAGCCGTTTGATTCCCCGCCTACTTGTTGTATTTACCCGGCAACTTGAAATCTTAGTAACAGCCCTGGTACAGGTGGAGCCCAAACCTTTGTGACACTTACCTGTCATTTGCAAATGAGGCCTTTTTTTCCCCCAAAGCAATGAAGCTTTCCTCTTTGATAATGGCAAGCATTATTAGTGTAATTGTATGATGCCCTTTTTAAGCTGACTGATAAATAAGCATAGATCACAATGTCTGTGTTTGGTTGAGCATTCTTGAGTATCTTTTTATTTCTTAAAACCATTTGTGTCCGTTTAGGGTTTGTGCTACTTTTTTGCATTAATTTATTTTTCCTTATTAATTATCTTTCCCTTCAACAGTCTTCATTATTTTACAGTTTCTTCATTGTAATGTAACAATATGATCATTATCATGGAGGCACATGACACAAAAATTGGTATGAAGGCGACTTCATTTGCTCAATAGAGATCGCTGTTTCATAGGGGTCAAATGTATTGTTATTGCAGGAAGCAAATTCTGGGAATGTGATAAGTAACTGCTTACTAGAGGGTGATTGCTTAACGGATGGCTGCAAATTTGAGGTTTGACTGTTGGTAATTGTTCATTGTTTTTATTCGTTAACAGGTCAAGAACTGATTATGACAGGCTGAGACCCCTTTCTTACCCTCAGACAGACGTATTTCTTGTGTGTTTTTCTGTAGTTTCGCCAGCTTCATTTGAAAATGTTAAAGAAAAGGTAAGGGCCTGATCTGCCAACCCTAGTCTTTTGAAACTGTGATTAACTTGTAACATCTTTAAGGCAACGATGTTTAAGATGCATTGTCAAAAAGTCACAATATTGACTTCAACAAATTAATGTTGTGACTGCTTAGCTGCCCGTACGAAATGCGCAGGCTGTTGCAGCGCTGCAGAATGGCTTCAAGAAGCGCTGCAGAATAGCTGCAAAGAGGCTGGCTGCAGCAGTCGCAAATTTTGGCTGTTCGGGGCAGCGCTATGAAGCCGTTTGAAAGCGATAAGCAGCGGTTTAGCAGCGGTGGAAAGGACACACAAAAACGTTGTCAGCGCTACCAAATAGCTGCAAACGTGTACAAAAATTCAAAGAATTATGGCATTTGCCTGATTCGATAATGCGGTTTGGCAAATTAGTGCCATCACGCAACGCAGCCCGGAAACCGGCTTAGTAGCAGAGTAAAAATCTCTAGAAAGTCAAAATGCAACTTATACTTTATTAGTATCCACGCGTACACGTTACAAAAGCACGTGACATAGAACAAATCTGCAACAGTCTCGCTTTGTAAATATTTAGCAATCACGGTCACTCATCTGAATGTAAGACCATCCATTAA